TTTTTTTTGCGGGGTTTGCCCTTTTATGTGTAGAGAATCGGAACCATTGTACAAAAATTTCCAAGTCCTGCTGCTGCGAAGCTATCACTTCCTGTTTCGGTGATCACTTTCCATTTCAGGGCCATTCACTTATCTATTTCCGTGTCAAGTGGTGTTCACTTTCCCTTTCAGGAATGCTAGGTGAATGTACAGAGTCGTCGTCAGAGCTGTATGAATCGTCGGAGATCCTGCTCATCTGTGTGATGTGAGAATTGTTTCCGTTTCGGTGGATGCTTTCCATTTTGGGAATGACTCTGCAAGCTCCTTGCCTACTTGGGTGTTCTGAGACTTGCAACTCTTTGGATAAAAGATGGCGTCAACAATTTTACAGCCGACAGAGACAACAGATGCAGAGTCATTTGCGTTCAAGGTGTGTGTGCAACCGACTCTGCTCGTCCCTTTAAATTTTTTTTTTTCGAAAACAAAAGTCAGAAAGAAATTTGAAAATTTTTAAATTTGAAAATTTTCTTTGTGCCTCTGGGTTCAACAATTCATTTCACCGGCGAAAAGAGAAACAGGCTGAGTGGAGTTTTTTTCTTTTCTTTTTCTTTTCTTTTCTTCTTCTTCATCTTCTTCTTCTTCTTCTTCTTCTTCTTCTTCTTTTTTGTTTTTTACTTTTAGTGGAGTAATTTCATTTAGTAATTCAATTTCATTTTGCGCTCGCGTGCTCGCCTAAGAAGAAGAAGAAGAAGAAGACGACGACGACGACGACGAAGACGAAGAAGACACCACTCAGCTGAAAAGGACAATGTATATGTGGGTCAGCGGCCTAGTTCAGTTGGTCGAGCACGTAAGTGGGCATTCAGGAGGTCATGGGTTCGGTTCCCCACGGCATCCAGTGGACTCCCTGCGGCCCCCAGCGGCGCACTTAGGGCTCATTCGCTGGGATAGATGGCTTGCCCCACTGGCTGGCGGTGGCAGGGTATTTGGAACCTTCCATGTCGTGCCAGGGTTAGGAGAAAGCTGCAGTGCTCTCAGACACGGGTGGAGGTCGGTGCCCACCCATAACTCTAATAAGGGGCCCCAGATGGTGCGCATTGATAGACTGCAACAATCAATACTTGAAAAACTGGACTTAGATAAGAGCGTAGGTAGAGTGAGGTATATGAGTGAAGAACATAGGTAAAAAAAAGACTGTGTAAAATACTGTATATGTAATTATAGATATTATTATATATTTTATTATTTTGTCACATAATTATGAACTAAAAGAGCGCACTTTGCGAAACGAACGGTAAGGATTAAAAAAAACAAGACAAAGAAAAGATGAGGGGCACACTGAAGCCATTCATTTTGCTCATTCTTCTTTTAACACCGCCTTGACCGTGCCTTTCATGTACAAGGCTCGCCACGTTGATGACGTTGAGCGCAGGCTGCCCCATCCCCCGTGTGCCGTAACGGCCCACTTGTACGTTCCCAATTTTAACGAATATCCCAATGGACCGTCCTCCTCCTCCTCCTTTTTTTTTTTTTTTTTTTTTTTTTTTTCCGGACCGTTTCTTGGTTTATGTATGCCATCCTTGCGCAGGGGCCATGCTAGTCTTCTCTGTATCGTCCCAATTTTAATGAATGTCCCAAGGGACCCTCCTCCTCCTCGTCATGTCTTCTTCCTCCTCCTCCTCCTCTTCAAGTCCACCCACCTTTTCTTTCTCCCTCCTTCTCCTCCTACCCCTCGTCATGTCTCCTTCTCCTCCTCCTACTTGTCATCATCAAACTGCCCTCCTCCTTGTTGTCGTCAACTCCAACCTGCTTTCCTTTCTCCTTCTCCTCCTCCCTCTCCTCCTCCTTTTTTCTTTTGGTTGGACCATTTCTTGATTTATGTGTCATCCTTGCGCAGGGGCCATGTTAATCTTCTTTCTCTGTATCGTCCCAATTTTAATGAATGTCCCAACGGACCCTCCTCCGCCTCCTCCTCGTCATCATCTCCATCCTCCTTTCTCATCCTCGTCATTGTTGTCAACTCCACACTACTACAAAACAGTGAATCTTTCGACCAAAAAAATAAAATAAAATCGATTTCAAGAAGACGAGGGAGAAATGGAAGACAGTGGAGAGAGAGAGGACACAGGAGAAACGGACAACAGCGAAGAAACAGACGGCAGCGGAGAGAGAGGGGACAGCAGAGAGATACTCACATATGAAGAAAAAGAGGAGGAGGAGGAAGAGGAGGAGGAGAAAGAAAATGAGGCCCAACTTGACGAGGAGGAGGAGGGGGAGGAGGAGAGCGAGAAAGGAAAGGAGGGCAGAGTTGACGAGGAAAAGGAGGAGAAAATGAGGAGTGACCAACCTACGACACGAGGGGCGGCCCAGATCTAAGGCATTCAATTTTGTGGCTGCATTTGGAAACTGGCGGCCATGAAATCCCGCCCAACGGCTGAAAAAAACAAAAAAAAGATAAGCAAACAAAACAAAAAACCCTAGTAGACTTTCCGGCACTTCCGGATCTTAGCACAGGGCCTAAAAAATTAGCGCGGGATTTTTTTTGGGCCACCCAGGGTGTGAAGAAACGCTCTGTTTGGGCCGCCCAAAAAGAAACTGGCCGTTGCGCAGGAGCCCTAGCATCCGGACTTGGATCCAGACCCCGGACAACGGAAAGTCCGGATCCCTGTCCGGCAGTCCGGATCGTAGCCATGCTTAGGAGTAGTGGTAGGTAGATAGTGAATGGTGAAATTGAGAGAAGAATATACCTTAGTTATAAAAAAAAACTTTAAAAAAAAAAAAAAAAAAAAAAAAAAGGATGAATGCAAAGGAGAGGATAAGAAAAGGCTCAAGAATCAGTCTGTCCTTGACGACAGAGAGGACATATATTGTAAGGATGAGTTGGATGAACACGTGGAAGACCTACTGTCCTCACCCGAATAGGAGGCCCGGTCATTTTTACCGTATCTGGACTGAAAGTTGCACCAAATGCAGCTATAATGACTGGCCGTTTTATTTGGGTGAAGACCTAGCTGAGCATTCTCAGTACAACAATTGCCAGGACGGCTGGCGTTCAGCATGCCCACCATTTACACCCCGCGGCAAATGGCATGTCAATTGCAGGCCAAAAAAATGGAGGATGAACGCCCACCACAAAAGACCATGCATTCAGTATAGCGCCCACGGGCGCAAAATGGACGTATAGGTCCGGATGCGGAGGGTGCCTGTGGTCAAGAACGGAGGGACAGTCCTCTACACACTTGGATGCGGAAGCCATGCCATTGTAGCGAGATTGTGACAGAGAGACGATGGGGGCTACAGCCGAGTGTAACAGTTTTTGTAGCTGTGCAAAGGAGAAGGTCGCCAAGTGTTGGTACGTTGTCCTGATGCAGCACGGGGCCGGAGGAATGGTCTTCGGTATTGAAAGAGATTGTGGACGGTTTCGTGCGGCAAGAAAACAGCATCATCATGCAAGAAATCAGTAACATCAGTCATGGCATGGACCATGATGCTGTTTTCCCACAGCTCCCAGTGGCCAGAGGCATGTACAATGGCCATGAAATGGGCCCAGGTGCGTGCACACGCGGGCAGAGGTGTGGGATGGAGGATGAAACCACTCACCTGCTCAAGCATTGTGTAGTTCAAGTTGGAGGCCCCTATATATAGTCAAACAGAGCTGCCCGATAAACCGTAGGCCGAGAGGGAGAAGAGGACAACAAACGAGGGGCTGTGACAAACTGTTTTGTCGGAGTTTCACCGAGTCATCATGAGGCTGTCCTATGCATGTGACGCGTCTCTCGCAGTGGTTCTGTCACATGCTGTGATGTCCTTGTATCATCCAATTTCCTCTTCGCCGCAACAACGCTCTCGTCCTGCCCCTGCTTGCTCATCTGCTGCTACCGCAGTTTCCACTGCTGCAGTTTCCACTCCTGCAGTTTCCACTGCTGCAGTTTCCACTCCTGCAGTTTCCACTGTTGCGGTTTCCACTGCTGCAGTGTCCACTGCTACAGTTTCCACTGCCGCAGTTTCTACTGCTGCGGTTTCCACTGCTGCAGTTTTCAGTACAACAGTTTCCCTAACTGTAATTTCCCCTACCTTAGTTTTTACTGCTACAACTTCCTGTCCTGCAGCTCCAATGCAAAGAACATCACAATCTGTCCGACGCTCATGTCCTTTGCTCCGAAATCTTGCCAAATGCACCCCCCTCTCGTCTTTCTTTGTGCTTGGCCGTAGACGACTGCGTTCCTCCTCACCACCCCCATCTCCTCCACGGTCTCACTTACGAACAGACTCTCCAATTTCCATTGTTCCCATTGTTCCACCTTCGTCTCTAGGTACAAGTTCAGCTTCTGTTTGCAACACCACTACTCCTCTTGTTGTGCATCACCGACGACATCCGCGGCATCGTCACTTGTCCGGGGACCAGCAACCTGTTTCTTTGTCTGTCCCGATTCTCTCTGTGCCTCCTCCACAGGTCGTTGCGGTTCCTTTGTTTCAAATGGCAATATCCGCTCCTATGCCTCCTGCAGACAGTCCAGCTGCCTGCAGGCAGCCACCAGTCCCTACTCAGGATGCAGCCACTGCCCAGAGTACACTCCCGACTCTAGGTACAGTCCCTACTCAGGATGCAGCCCTAAACGTTGAGGGATTGGAACATGATCTGCCCCGATCGCAGTTGACCCCACAAGGCGTAGACCACACGGGGGATCTGAAAATGGCTGACCAGCATTGTTTGGATGAACCACAGTTTTGTGCTCCGCCACACGCAGACCACATGGGTGATCTGCAAATGACTGACCAGCAAACAACCCAACACAGTTTGGGCTTGCGACACCATCTGGGTGATGTGCAAATTGTTGGCCAGCATCCAACAAACCAGCCTGAGAACCTCACCAATCTCGGTGGTCTGACAGCAACGAATATCTGTCTTCACATTCTCCATCGCCCGTTTTATACACCATCAGACTTCCTTGCAATCGCCTTTCAGCTTGATGCTGATCTTCCCCAACGACAGCCAGAGGATTGTAATTATACCAGCGAAGGAGGCTTTACCATTGCTGTCCTACAAATCGCAATGAGGGACCGTCAACTTGAACTACGCAATTCTTGAGCAGGTGAGTGGTTTAATCCTCCATCCCACATCTCTGCCTGCATTGTGCACGGCCCTGGCCATTGTACATGCCTCTGACCACTGGGAACTGTGGGACAACGGCACAATGGTCCATCCCATGATTGATGTCACTGATTGCTTACAAAATGATGCTGTTTTCTTGCCACAACAAACCGTCCGCAATCTCTTTTACGTCGAAGATCATTCCTCTGGCCTCGTTCTTCAACAAGACAATGTACCAACACTCTGCGACCTTCTCCTTTGCACAACCACAAACACTGTTACACTCGGCTGTAGCCGCCATCGTCTCTGTCACAATCACTACAATGCCATGGTTTCTGCATCCATGTGTACAAAGGACTGTCCCACTGTTCCTGACTGCAGGCGCCCTCCGCATCCGGACACTATATATGTCCATTTTGTGGCCATGGGCGCTATACTGAATGCATGCTCTTTTGTGGTGACCGTTCTTCTTTCATTTTGGCCTGCAATCGACATGCCATTTGTCAGGGGTGTATGGAGGGCATGCTCAATGCCACCCGCCGTGGTAACTGTTGCCCTGAGAATGCTCAGCTAGGTCTTCACCCGAATAGAACGGCCAGTCATTATAGCTGTATTTGGTGCAACTTTCAGTCCAGATACGGCAAAAATGACCGGGCGTCCTATTCGGGTGAGGACGGTAGGTCTTCCATGTGTTCATCCACGTCATCCTTACAATGTATGTCCTCTCTGTCGTCAAGGACACTCATTCTTGAGCCTTTTCTTATCATCTTTTGCCTTCATCTTCACTCCACACTCCATACTTTCCCTTACTTTCCCTGTATCGTTTTTTGTTTGTCTGCTCTCCATCTCTCCTCCCTGTGTTTATACCCTCCCCCTTCACTCTGCCTCTTTCTCACAACGTACAAGTGGGCTGTTATGACACACGGGGATGGGGGCAGC